TGCACCCGTGCCCAAGTTCCTCCTCGGGGAGGGATGGAGTCTCTCTGTCCTCCAGCCGCGTTTCTTCTGTCCTTCCTTTGCCCTTGCTCCTTTGGCTCTTGTGCCTCACTGTGTTCTCCCTGCCTTGTGCGGGTCTCAGAGCCCACCTTTTCAGACGTCCGTAACCTCATATCCAAGCCTTTCAGTCCATCTCTTAACATCTTTCTCTCTCTCGGTAGCTTTCTGGGTCTACTGTCCGTCTTGGAGCCTCCCAGCTCCCCGGCTTCTTCCTGTTTTAAGCACGGTGGATCTGCCCCCCGAATAGGGAGCATTTGTCAAGAAGGAGGAATTCTTGTCCAGCTATTTACTGGGTGCATTTCTGCACACCTCCCATGGAACAATGTTTGCAGTTCAGTGATTATGTTTGGGGGGCAACTCCTCCCTAGCTGAGCTTTGAAAGTAGCACTTCCAGCCTTCCCTTCTCATCCTGAGCAATAACCATGGACCCGGCTCTGGAAAGAGGAAGAGGGCAATAGTAAAACAAAACAAAACAACACACACACACACACACACACACACACACACACACACACACACAAACTCTTCTATTCCTCCATAGCTTTCTCTCCATCTTCCCCTTACTCCTCTCCTCCCCCTGTGAGGGAAGGAAACATTAAGGATGGAAATGGAATGAAGGGGCAGCAGGGGAGCTCTGGAGACTGAGCCATTTTGGAGCTGGAAGATTCATCTCAGGGGATGACTACACCCTCAGAACTCTCCACCCTCCCTTGGCTCCAGGCCTGCCTCCTCCCATCCCCCTCGGTGGCAGCAGCCTTGTAATTTAAAGCTCTCTCTGTCGCCTCTAATGTGATCCTCTCGTTTTATTGACTCTCTCTGCCGTCTGTGGCGCCCCTTCACATCAATCTCCGCTCTAATCACACCGCCGCCACTGCCTGCTGTCTCCCCTAACCCCTCTCCTCCTGGGCCCCAGCCCTTGCAGCCACCTCTCCTTTGACTGTCCCCCCACGTCCACCTTACACCTGGACCGCCCTCTTCCTCCCTCCCTTCCCCAGAGGCGGGAGTGCCAGGGCCCTTGAGGGTGGCCTTCTCCCCTTCCCCACCTCTGAGATGTGCCCCAAGGGAGAGGAGACGCCCTTAAGGAAAGCCCGGAACTACAGGAGGAATGGCAGTGGTCTGAGGGTGAACAGGACTCTTGGCCTGGAGGTGGTAGGTGGAGGGTGACTTAGTCTGTCATCCGGCTCTGCATCATCTCCAGAAAGAGCTGAAAACTGAGTTCAAGGTAGGAAGGGCAAAGAGAGGGACACAGAGATTCAGAGAGGGAAGGAGGAAAAGATTGAGGAGGAGGGAAATGGAAGGAGGAAAGAAAAGGTGAAAAAAAAATCATTGCTGCAGTTAAAGGTTTGTAATAAATAGAGGGTGATGGGAGAAGCGTGGAGAAGAAAAGGGGGGGAGCTGGGGGGGTGCACTGAGGCAGAGATAAATTTGCAATTGAAATTCTTTCCTGTAGAGGAGGAGGAGGGAGGTGGGGAAGAGATTTGCAATTTTAAACAGCTGCCGACCTACCCTTGGCGGTCTGGGTCTCACCCACGAGCTAGCCCAGAGCTAAACTCCTTTGGTTTCTAACTAAGAATCAGCTGGGTCTTTTTCCAGTCCTGGGAAGTAGAAGCTTTGGAGAGAGGATTTGGGGCTTAGGTCGTTCTAGCACCTCCTCTGAAGTTAGATCTGGAGTTGTGAATCAGGAGCCAGGAGGAAGCAGCTGATCGATGTGATGTAGGCGCGGTAGCCCAGCGGGGATGAAGCACCACCCGGGTCAGGCCTCGGTGGCAGGGCCCGGGAGAAGCCCGGCTTGCCCAGCTCACTTCTTCCCACCAGGTGGGGCAGCAAAAGGGTGGTGGGCCCCCACTGTGAGGGGTAACAGTGGACTGTCAGACCCTCGTGATCCAGCGCTTTTACCCCCTACCCCCAAGGATTCCGTAGGAGAGACACCTTTCTCCCAGTTTCGGGCTTCTGCTTTCTGGTTATCTAGGATAACCCCTCCATCTAATACCTTTACTTTCCTCCCGGTTCTCCAGCTACCTCCCCCCACCCCCCAGCCCTCCACCCCTTGCCCAGGTGCTGATTTGCATTTCATTAGCATGCTGATCCAGCCCCACGCGGAGCTACTTAATGGCTCTGACTTCACGCCTGGCTAGCCCCCTAGGAGGAGGGGGGGAAGTGGGAAAGGGGGCCTGCAGGCTGGGTGGGGCCAGGCCAAAGACCCATTCCTAATCAAAGAATCTGAAGGTGAGCGTTAGAGGTGGCCCAAGGAAGGAAGGAGAGACCACATCCCTTCTGGAAGCATGGGCTTGAACGCTAAAGGTTTAATCATTAGAGATTGGCTGATAATTAAGACCTGGAGTGGATGCAAACCACTTGGGACATTGGGAAAAGTATGGGATGGTGAAGCATGGGGAACTGGTGAGTTTGGTGGGGACGGGAAGCGGGGTGGGGGGGGTTGCGGAGGGGGAGGAAGGTGTGGTAATCAAGGTAAAAAGGCTGGGAACAGCGTGGGAGGCCTGGCGTTTCTAGTAGCTGGAGGGAGCCCCAGAATTCTGACTGCTAGACCTCTGGAGGCTCATTTGGCCTTTCCTGGGTCTGAGGGACGATCCAGGTAGATGGAGGGCCCAGGTCTCTGTGCCCCACCAGTCCTCTGGTTTCCCCTCCTTGGAGTTGTGCGACAGTTAGCAGCTCACTCAACCTGTTTCTTGGCTGCCTCATCTGCAAAATAAGATTAAATGAAATAATTGATGAAAGCATTTAGCACAGTGCCAGGACCATGGCATATGTACCTTAATAGCTTTTAGTAATATTACTGTTATTATTTTTTTTAATCTCTTTGTGGGGGAGGAAGCTAATCACATAGAATCGGTTGTCTTCCAACTGGCCAGGGAAGCCTCCGCCTATTTCACATGCTTGTGACCAGAGATGGCTCTGGAGGGCATCTGTGAGAGCAGCACCGGGCCTGCAGGCCAGCAGAAATTCACTGTGGCCTCTCTGGCTCGAGGACCTTGACTTAGGGAAACTACCCCTTCAGTGAGTGGAAAATCTGAGGGTCTTTCCTAGAGTTCATTCATTCAACACACATGTACTGACTGTGTGGCGGGCATTTTTCTTGGTGCTAATGATAGAGAAAGTAGGGTTCCTACTCTCATGGAACTTAACGTCTACAAGGGAGAAGTAAGTAAACCAGGAAATATCAGGTGGTGAGAAATCTCTGAAGAAAGTAACCCCCCGGAGCATGTTAGCTTCCATAGGAAGGGAAAGCCTGTTGGAAAAGGTGATATTTAAGCAGACACCTGAATGAGAATTTGCCATGCAGAGGTCTGGGGAAGAGTCTTCCTGGCTGACGGAGTAAGCTGTTTAGCTTAGGCAAGGCCCTAAGGTGGGAATGGACTTGGTGTGTTTGAAGAAAAGGCGGCCAGTGGGCTGGAGGCAGCCAGCCAGGCAGGGTGGAGAGTATTAAGATGTGTCAGAAGTAGGCCGGCATCAGATCAGATAGATCCTTTTGTAGATCAGAATCCTTTTGGATCTTATTCATTGTACAGTGAGAAATCACGGATGGGTTCTTAAGGATATAGTACAATTGACATTTTTTTTTTTTTT